AAAAAAAAAAAAAAAAAAAAAAAAGCTGATCAGGGCAGATCCTGTGGCTCAGTGGGTAGGGCATAGGCCCCATATGAAAGTGGCAGGTTCAAACCCAGCCTCGGCCAAACTGCAACAAAAAAATAGCCGCCCAATGCCTAGAGGCATTGAGGGGGGGCACCTGTAGTCCCAGCTACTTGGGAGGCTGAGGCAAGAGAATCACGTAAGCCCAAGAGTTGGAGGTTGCTGTGAGCTGTGTGACGCCACGGCACTCTACCGAGGGCGATAAAGTAAGACTCTATTTTTACAAAAAGAAAAAAAAAAGGCTGGTCAGCAACGCTCAGTGACTCACATGTATAATCCCAGCACTCTGGGAGCCGGAAGTGAGCGGATTGCCTAAACTCATGAGTTTGAGACCAGCCTCAGCTACAGTGAAACACCATCTCTAAAAAATAGCCAGGTGTTGTGGCGGGTGCCTGTAGTCCCAGCTACTAGGGAGGCTGAGACAAGAGAGCAGCCTGAGCCCAAGACTTAGTGGTTGCTATGAGCTTTTTTTTTTTTTTTTGAGACAGAGCCTCAAGCTGTTGCCCTCGGTAGAGTGTGGTAGCATCACAACTCAAAGCAACCTCCGACTCCTGGGCTCAACCAATTCTCCTGCCTCCGCCTCCCAAGTAGCTGGGACTACAGGCGCCTGCCACAACGCCTGGCTATTTTTTGGTTGCAGCCGTCATTGTTGTTTGGCGGCCCGGGCTGGATTTGAACCCACCAGTTCAGGCGTATGTGGCTGGCACCTTAGCCGCTTGAGCCACAAGCACCAAGCCAGTTGCTGTGAACTTTGATGCCAGGGAGCACACTCTACTGGGGGCAACAAAGTGACAGTCTGTCTCAAAAAAAAAAAAAAAAAAAAGCAGCTCGACAACCAATTTTTGGAAGACCAATAGGCACACACAAAACATATAAAAGTAGATTTCACAGACTGATAAAACATAACTAAAATGCAGCCTTATGTTGCTCTATTTTTATAAAAAGGATGTTTTAGACTGGCGTGGTGGCTCACGCCTATAATCCCAGCACTCTGGGAAGCTGAGGAGGGTGGACTGCTTAAGTTCACCAGTTCAAGACCAGCCTGAGGAAAAGTGAGACCACCATCTCTACTGAAAATAAAGAAACCGAGGCAAGAGGATTGCTTGAGCCCAAGAGTTAGAGGTTTCTGTGAACTATGACACCATGGCACTCTACCCAGGGCAACAGCTTGAGACTCTGTGTCCCCCCCCACCAAAAAAAGGCAGCGCCTGTGGCTCAGTGAGTAGGGCACCAACCCCACATACCGAGGGTGGTGGTTTTGAACCCGGCCCCAGCCAGACTGCAACAAAAAATAGCCGGGTGTAGTGGCAGGCACCTGTAGTCCCAGAGACACGGGAGAGTGAGGCAAGAGAATCACCTAAGCCCAGGAGTTAGAGGTTGCTGTGAGCTGTGACACCACTAATAAGGGTGATAAAGTGAGACTGTTGTCTCTTAAAAAAAAAAAAAAGATAGAAAAAGTAGCCAGGCGTGGATTTATATGCCTGTAGTCCTGGATATTCAGGAGGGTGAGGCAAGATGATTGCTTAAGACTACGATTGAGGTTGCTGTGGGCTATGATAACACCATGGCACTCTACCCAGGGTGACAGAGTGAGACTGGGTCTTTAAAAAATATATATTATTACTGTTCTTTATAAAAGATGCAATTTAAATGATATATCTCCTAACCTACATTCTCTTATGTCAGTTATCCATAGCACAGAATACTCTAATGAGAGACTGATATCCAGGAGACTAAGAGAAACACCATAACAACTACTCTTAGCAATCCTTGACCTCCTGGTCAGATTCTGTGGAAACTTCCAAAGCAAACATTTTCCAAGTTTTCTTTTTTTTTTTTTTTTGAGACAAAGTTTTACTTTGTTGTCCTCAAGTAGAGTGCCATGGCATCATAGCTCAGAGCAACCTCAAACTCTTGGGCTCAAGTGATCCTCTTGCTTCAGCCTCCCAAGTAGGTGGAACTACAGGTGCCCACCACAAGGCCGGGCTATTTTTAGAGATGGGTCTCACTTTTGCTCAGGTTGGTCTCTAACTCCTAAGCCCAGGTGATCCACCCAGCTCAGCTTCCCAGAGTGCTAGGATTACAGGTGAGAGACACCACGCCCCGCCACATTGTCAAAGTTTTGAAAATGCTCCCCATTTGAACAGGGTGCAGTGGCTCAAGCCTATAATCCCAGCACTTGGGAGGCTGAGATGGATGGATTGCCTGGACTCTCAGGTTCGAGAGCAGCCTGAGCAGAGCAAGACCCAGTCTCTAAAAATAGCCAGGCATTGTGGCGGGCGCCTGTAGTCCCAGCTACTTGTGAGGCTAAGGCAAGAGAATCGCTTGAGCCCAGGAGTTTGAGGTTGCTGTGAGCTAAGATACCACAGCACTCTACCAAGGGTGACCAAAAAAAAAAAAAAAAAAAGTGAAAATGGTCCCCATTTGGAGGGACCACCACCCTGACTTTCTGTAGCCCAAGGGAAGGGAGCCTTCCTGCTAACAGGCTTGTACAGAGTACTGTTAACTCTGGAGCTCATCCCAGGCCTCCTATATTCAAGCCAAGGTCAAGGAAGCTAACACTGGTAGCACCATTTGGAGACAGTGAGAGAGGATAGAGCCAGTATTGAACCTACAGAAGGCCACAATTTCTCAGAGCCTTGACATTTACTCAAGATTACATCTTGGTTACATCTTGGCAACCAGACCCAGTCAAATCCTGACATCCAGACCCAGTGATTATTTTGTATGAAACACCAATATGACTACTACACTTGATCTTACTCAAAAGGCTAAGAAGTCATCAACATGACTACGAATGGAATTTACTTGCATTATCACCAAGGATCTCTATGATCCAAGGACAAAATTACTGATCCCAGTATGGGTGACCAAAAGAATGCCTACAGAGGACATTATGGCAACAAGCACTTCGAAATGGAGATATCTAAAGAAATGTGGGGGGCTGGGTGAGGTGGCTCACATCTATTATCCTAGGACTCTGGGAGGGTCCACTGAGCTCAAGAGTTCCACACTAGCCTGAATAAGAGTGAGATCCTCTCTCTACTAAAAACAGAACAAACTAGGCCTAGTGGTGGGTGCCTGTAGTTCCAGCTACTCTGGAGGCTGACTCAAGAGGATTGCTTAAGCCCAAGAGTTTGAGGTTGCTATGAGCTATGATGTCACAGCACTCTACCTAGGGTGAAAGAGTGAAACTGTCTCAATAAAAAAAAAGAAAAGAAATGTGAGGAACTTATCATTAAACAGATAGGATCAGAAAGAAAAGGGAAGACTGAGAGAAGGGCAGCACTAAGATCAAGTATGTAACAATGCATTGTTACTAAATCAGAAGAATGATGACATTCAGTCACCATTTTAGACTGTCTGAAGTAGCTGCTATCAGAAAATCAAATGGTTAATGTACTGAGAACCACCTCCTCTCCTATCCAAGTACCTCAAATGAACTCACACCAACAGAAATAAAGACTTAAGATAGGGTAGCTTCCAAAGGGTTGATGGAAGCAACAAATCAGAAAGAGTGGCTCGGCCCCTATAGCTCAACCGGCTAAGGCGCCAGCCACGTACACCTAAGGTGGTGGGTTCGAATCCCCAGCCCGGACCCGCCAAACAACAATGACGGCTGCAACCAAAAAAAAAAAAAAAAAAAAAAGAAAGAGTGTGCGTTTTCTCTTCACAGTAGGGTGGGGTGTGAGGCTAGAAAATACATATCTGAGTCCAAATTGTGAAGTGAGGAAAACTCAAATATACCCTCTGGTTCCCTTCACTTACCTTAATTGCTATGTTGTTGGATTCAGTAGCACCGCTAGTGAAAATGATCTCACGAGGATCAGCCCCAATCAGAGATGCTACTTGCTGCAAGCCAAGAAACAGATACATAATATCAATTCCCCAGGCAGGAATGGGGCTACACACACAGTTGGGACAGCTCTGGAACAAGAACTCAACTGCATTTGACCAAACTGCTCAGGAAGAAGCTCTGCACCTACCAATATCAGAAAATAGAACCACTAATATCTAAGATCCTAGACTTTTATCTACCCCAACACAGAATAATTATTATATTATTATTGGGATTTTGTTAATGACCTTATTGTGCTCTTACTATCTATGGGTATTATGTTAATAAACATCAGCATTTATTTATTTTATTTATAATTTATTTTTTGAGACAGAGTCTCACTTTGTCATTCTTGGTAGAGTGCCATAGTATCATAGCTCATAGCAACCTCAAACTCTTGGGCTTAAGAGATTCTCTTGCCTCAGCCTCCCAAGTAGCTGGGACTACAGGCTATTTTTATTTATTTATTTATTTATTTATTTTTTTGAGACAGAGCCTCAAGCTGTCCCCCTGGGTAGAGTGTCATGGCATTACAGCTCACAGCAACCTCCAACTCCTGGGCTCAAGCTAGTCTCCTGCCTCCGCCTCCCAAGTAGCTGGGAGTATAGGCGCCCGCCACAACGCCCGGCTATTTTTTAGTTGCAGCCGTCATTGTTGTTTGGTGGGTCCGGGCTGGGGATTCGAACCCGCCACCTTAGGTGTACGTGGCTGGCGCCTTAGCCAGTTGAGCTATAGCCGCCGAGCCTACAGGCTATTTTTAGAGACAAGGTCTCAGTCTGGCTCAGGTCTCGAACCTGTGAGCTCAGGCAATCCACCCACCTCGGCCTCCCAAGTGCTGGGATTACAGGCATGAGCCACCACGCCCACCCCAAACATTAGCATTTAATCTCCCAATAACCCCAGGAGTAGAAACAATTGCAATCTCCATTTCCAATGTGAGGAAATTAAGGCTTAGGGAAATTACATAATTTGCCCAACATCATTTAAATAGTAAATGCGGGAACTAATTACATGCCTTGAGTCAAACTCTTAAGATGGCTCACAGAATCTCTACCAGAAAGAACCCCAAAACCATTTACACCTCCACCCACACCTACCAAGGAAATGCCTCCCAAAAACCAGTGACCCAAGAACCTCCCAGAGTCCTCTGTACTAACCTGACGAGCATGTTCCATGGCTGCCTCACTCTCCCATCCATAAGCATGTGTCCGGGAGTGTGGGTTCCCATAATAGTTGACTAGGTAAGGGAGCATGGCATCAAGTACCCGAGGGTCCTGAGCACAATAGAATAGGTCACTTTCCTCGATCCCAGTCAACTCAGGCCCTCCTCCATCCCTTCAGACCTGCTTACCCTGCTTTATCACACTTCCAGCCTTTCAGATACCACCTAGCTTAGGCCTCAAACATTCTTCTATCCCCTCAGGTACTAACAAGATATCAACCTAATACAGTCCCACTACCAACCTATCTTAACTCAGACTGTCCTACCATCCCCTCAGATGGTTTACAAACATTGCCTTGCTCTGATGTGTTTCTGCAGGTATTTCAATTCCTGCCAGGCGATGTGATCTATAAGTGGCTGAGACAAGACAGAGCATACGTAAATGCTCCTTCTCACACACTGGTGAGAACGTGCATTACTATTAGAGTACTAATCATGTGCCAGGCTGCTTTACATCTTTTGACCCATTTAATAGTGGCCTAAATGCACATAGTTATTCAGTGGCAGTCTAGCCAATTCCAGGGCCCATGCTTTTAACTATTACTACAATGCTTGCACTGAATGAGATTTGACCAGAGGGGCAAGGAACCTATGGCCTTCTTCTCTCTCTTTTTTTTTTTTTTTTGAGACAGAGCCTCAAGCTGTCACCCTGGGTAGAGTTCTGTGGCATCACAGCTCACAGCAACCTCCAATTCTTAGGCTGAAGCAATTCTCCTGCCTCCACCTCCCTAGTAGCTGGGATTACAGACAACCGCCACAATGCCCAGCTATTTTTTGGTTGCAGTCATCATTGTTTGGCAGCCTGGGCTGGATTTGAACCCGCCAGCTCAGGTGTATGTGGTTGGCACCTTGGCCGCTTGAGCCACAGGCACCGAGCCAGAACCTGTGGCCTTCTAATTTCAAGATGGTTCTTTTTCATTTCATTTTATTATTATCATTTCTTTTTGAGACAGAATGTTATTATGTCGACCCTCGGTAGAGTGCTGTGATGTTACAACTCACAGCAACCGCAAACTCTTGGGCTCAAACAATTCTCTTGTCTCAACCTCCCAAATAGCTGGGACTCCAGGTACCAGCCACAATGCCCAGGTATTTATTAGAGATGGAGGTCTTGCTCTGGCTCAGCCTGGTATCAAACCTGTGAGCTCAGGCAATCTGCCCACCTCAGCCACCCTGAGTGCTAGGATTACAGGCAAGAGCCACCGAGCCAGGCCAAAATTGTTCTTTTTTAAGCACCAAAGGAGGCAAAAAAGTTTCATCTTTCTCTGCTGTATCCCTTCTGTTTTTTTTTTTAAGAGACAGAGTCTCACTTTATCACCCTCGGGTAGAGTACTGTGGCGTCACAGCTCACAGCAACCTCCAAGTCCTGGGCTTAGGCGATTCTCCTGCCTCAGCCTCCGGAGTAGCTGGGACTATAGGTACCCACCACAAAGCCCAGCTATTCTTTTTTGTTGCAGTTTGGGTGGGGCCGGGTTCCAACCCCCACCCTCGGTATATGGGGCCGGGCTGGGTAGTATCCACCAAGCCACAGGTGCTGCCCTACTGTATCCCATTTAAGGAAAAAACTTGTTCTGTAAAATCTGGATTCCTTCAAAAGGCCACACATGGCTCCAAGGCTGCAGGTTGCCCACTCTGCAGAGTGCAACAAAATTTAAGCCTCTGAACTCCCCTCAGCCATTTCCATGTGTTGTCACTTCTCTCATTTACTTCCTATAAACAGCCTTGGGAAAACTGCCCCTCTATCCTTACCAGAGGAGTTGTGGCTTGCACATCCATATAAAGAGGTCGCAGCACTGACTCCGGAGCAGTGGCTGTATCTGAGGGAACAGCCGACTGGGGAGCATGGTCTGCAACTGACACAAAATGCAATGTAGCAGCCAAGTAAGACACAATGCAACTATGAATGCAGAGCATCCAAGGGAGCAGGTCAACTCTGGGCGGAGGTAAGCGTGGGAAAGGAATTCTCATAACCCTGACAGGAGCCTTATAGAAACCAGCAATCCCCTCCCCAGATTCCTGAACTGCTTCAAGGCTGGAGTTCCTGGAAACATCCTACCCACATCCTAAGAATAAATCCATATCTTGAACCCCACTAGAGAAGAGCCCCAGGCGGTGCTCCGGGCTCACTGCCCCATTCCACTTATGCTAATGAGGCCAACAAAAGCCTTTTGCAACTGTAGGACCTGAGCTGACACCTGGTCAGTCTCTGTTTTCCTTCTCCCTTCCATAAAAGTCTTTCCTTGTTCCTGGACTGACCTCCTCTCCTTTCTTGCAGACCCTGACCCCAGTTCTATGCCAGAACCTTTCAGTAAGATAATAAGTACAGGGACGCTGGGATCGAAACTCAGTGGAAAGGAAATAAGATATCAGAGAACCTGACCCCGCTGTAAAAGGAGAGAAGAGATAGGCAGATAGAAGGTTCTTGTAGGTGGACGTCAGGGCAAAATTCAAATTGTCTCCTTGGGAGTCAGGAGGGATCCAAGGATAAAGTTATTTACAAGACGAGTGGGACAGGAGTAGGTAAGGTCTCTTTCAGAGCTTATAGGCTGGAGACCCTCGACCAGCATCTCCATAATTGGCCAGGAGACCTCTGAAGGACAAGCCTGCCAGATTCTGGGGCTCTATGGGACTACGGGGCAGGATCTGAGCGGTGGCGCGGCAGAGTCAACCGTTGGGGGCTGCCTGGGAATGGCTGAGAGAAAGGGTCAGAGGCTCTCGGCAGCAGAGCGGGACAGGGAGGGTCCGCAATACTTAGTTGCGTCGCAGTGCCAAGGGGGAAAGGCTCGCGTCTCCGAAGAGGGTGGCAGCGAGCGGGAGCGTACCGCGCAGGCGCAGCCCCCGAGTAGGTGCAGCAGGCCTCGGCCCCGAAGCAGCAGTCACAGCCAAGGCCGCCCGCCTCCAAGCGGCTCGCAGCAGCATGGTCCTGGCGGCAGAGCCCACCGCCCGAAGCGCCTGCAGTATTCGGCCCGGGGCTCCCGGAAGTACTGCCTCGCGCTCCGGAAGGGATTTCTCGGGCCGCGAGCGCCCTCCTCCTCGATTTCCGTGTGAGACGTAGAGCTGAGCTACCGAGGCCGCGAGCGAGGTGAGCTGGGGGCGGTCCGAACCCCGCGGCGCCGCGCGGCGCTGGGGCTGAAAGCGAAGAGGGTGGAGGAGTAGGGCTATGCACTGATTTTCCTTCCCTAACTTTCCCCGAACCCTTGGGGCCCCTGCCACCCGCCGTCACTGTCACCGCCGTACTCCCGAACTGGCGGCGGGGCCCGCATTCCCCTATCCCTCGCACCCTGCAGATGCCGGTGGCCGTGGGTCCTTACGGACAATCTCAGCCAAGCTGCTTCGATCGCGTGAAAATGGGCTTTGTGATGGGTTGTGCCGTAGGCATGGCGGCCGGGGCACTCTTCGGGACCTTTTCCTGTCTCAGGTGAGAGGGTCGGGCGGTGATCTCTGGGCGGGACTACTGGACCTTCCCACCCACACCCCAGTCGGCCGGGACCCTGAACTGAGCCAAGTTTTTCCACTTCCCTGCCAGTCCTTCAGTGAGAGAGACCCATTTCCCAACCACTTTCAGTCCGCAAGGGCAGGTTGGAAGTATCATAGCTTAATCTGAGTTTAAAAGTGGTTTCAGACTCTTTACCTACTTGTCCTGTGACTTTAGGCAAGTTAGATACTGAGTTTTCTTAGGTGAAGTTGAGGACAGTTAACACTTACCTTATAGAACTGTAATCAGCAGACTTTGCACGCTATCTGGCACATGCTAAATGCTCAGTAACTTTTTAATACTGCTGTTATTTTTTGTTGTTGTTGCAGTTTGGCTGGGGGCGGGTTCGAACCCGCTACACTCCATATATGGGGCCGGCGTCCTACCTACTGAGCCACAGGTGCTGCCCACAATTTGTGACAACAAAACAAACTTGTTGAGCGCTTTACTATCCTGGGAAACAGGATGCAGAGATAATTCAGATAAGCGTACACTCAGAAGGTCATTTTCACATTTAAAGGCTGTTTTGTTTGGTTTTTTGGTTTTTTTGTCTTTTGAGACACAATCTCACCTTGTTGCCTTGGTAAAGTGCTGTCACATCATAGCTTACGGCAACTCCAAACTCTTGGGCTCAAGTGATTCTCTTGCCTCAGCCTCCCTAGGAGCTGGGACAATAGGCGCTCACCACAACACCTGGCTATTTTTAGAGATGGGGTCTCCCTTGCTCAGGCTGTTCTCAAACTCCTGAGACCAGATTCACTTACCTCCACCTCCCAGGGTGCTGGGATTACAGGTGTGAGCCACCTGTGTCCGGCCTAAAAGCTGTTACTTTCATTCTTCCAGACTGTTAACAATTTACTGAGAACTTTAGATTAACCACCGTGCTAAATACTGTACTGGTGTAAAAAAAAAAAATCTTGTAGACAATTTTGGGGTGTCCATTTTACATTTGACATAGACTGTAAATTGTAGGAATGGGACTTGAACCCAGGCCTGACTCCAAACTCATTAACACCCGAAAACCAGCAAGATGGCTCTGCGCCTGTGGCTCAAGTGGCTAAGGCGTCAGCCACATGCACCTAAGGTGGTGGGTTCGAAACCAGCCCGAGCCCGCCAAACAACAATGATGGCTGCAACCAACAAATAGCCGTGCGTTGTGGTAGGTGCCTGTGGTCCCAGCTACTTGGGAGGCTGAGGCAGGAGACTCGCTTGAGCCCAGGAGTTGGAGGTTGCTGTGAGCTGCGATGCTACAGCATTCTACCCAGGGGGATAGCTTGAGGCTCTGTCTCAAGAAAAAAAAAAGAAAACCAGCAAGATAACTGTCTGTATTGAAACATAAATACTGTGGAGGCAAAACTAGCCCTAAAAGCTGGTTTCCCTGCCCATGTACTTTACTTTGCATCTGATGCTTCCCACAAACTGCAAGTTGATATTTGTATCATAAGAAAAAATGACCTAGGTAACAGTTGGGTCCTTTTCCTTGTCATTACCCAACTAAGGTGGGACAAGATAATATCCATACAAGTAACATATTCAGAGTGCCAGTGCTTTGCTCATCATTAGGAGACTGAACGGGACAGTTAATACTCTTCCCTGTGTTTTTGTTCCCAAATGGCCCCATCTTGGTTTCCTCCTCAGGATCGGAATGCGGGGTCGGGAGCTGATGGGCGGCATTGGGAAAACCATGATGCAGAGTGGCGGAACGTTTGGCACATTCATGGCCATTGGGATGGGCATCCGATGCTAACCATGGCAGTGGCTGCTCACCACATCTTCTCATCAATCCCAGCCCATATGATACAATAAAACAAATTCTTTGAGTAGTCCGGATTGTGTGATAGTTAATTATTTTGTTCTCATCAACTTATTCAGCTTGGCAATACATCTACCAGTTTTGTACAACCTAGAGCCCACATTTGGGATTGTTTTGCTTACTTGATATTTGGAAAAGTATGCATTGACTTTTTTTTTGGAGACAAGAGTCTCACTATGTGGCCCTCAGTAGCGTGCTGTAGCATCACAGCTAACATCAACCTCAAACTTTTGGGCTTAAGCGATTCTCTTGCATCAGCCTCCCAAGTAGCTGGGACTATAGGCGCTGGCTGGCTAAGCCGCATGGATCTTTTATGTTGATCACCTTGCATTACTGCTTGTGTATTTAATGTGTGGCCCAGAACAACTCTTGTGATTCCAGTGTGTGGCAGGAAAAAAACCCAACAAGGTTTGGACACCCCTGTGACTAAAAGGAGGTGGGCTAACAAATAGGGTTGCTATTAGATAATGCCTCCCTACTAATCCAAAAATATCCAGTTTTGAGGTCCCTGCTACTTTGCATAGAATAAACCAAAACCTGTAATGGAGGTGCTATTATCTCCCCCTCCTTTTTTTAAAGACTGAGTCTCACTATGTCACCTTCGTTAAGAGTGCACTGGCATCACAGCTCACAGCAACCTCGAACTTTTGGACTTAAATGATTTTCATCCCCTAGCCTCCAGCACCCAACAACACCTGGACTTTTTTTTATTATACTTGTCATTATTGGTTGGCAGGCCCAGGTTGGGTTTGACCCCACCAGCCCTAGTGGATGCGGCCAGTGCTGTGGCCACTGAGCTATAGGTGCCAAGCCTTAACTCCCTATTAAAGGTAAAAAACTAAGATTCATAAAATACTCATATTTCCTGAAGATTAAAGCACCATAGAGGTTTTGTTTTGTGTTTGTAGTTTTTGACTGGGTTTGAACCTGCCACCTCCAGCATATGGGGCCGGCGCCCTATCCCTTTGAGCCACAGGCATTGCGCACCACAGGTTTTAACTTATTTCTAATCATTGCTGTTCATCCTGAAATTGTACAGATACAGCTGCCACCTTATCAGAAAGAGAATTGGCCCACTGTGAAACAAACTCAGTTTAACTTTCCTAGTTTAACTGCCTAAATCCCAGATAATTTTCTAACAACCATCAATGATGTGATATACTTGGCCTTCCATAAGATTCCATAAATTGGCCTGATGGGAAGTATTAAGGAGAAAGTGTCCCTTACCCGTCCACATAGGCCTTAAGGAATTATTCTGGCCTCCACTACCCCTGTAATAGTAGTATTAAGAACTTAACATTGGCAAGGAGCTAAGGTGCCAGCCACATAGGCAAGCTGGAGGGTTTGAATCCAGGCCTGCCAAACAACAGCTACAACCAAAACATGGCCCGGGCTTGGGGCGGATACCTGTAGTCCCACCTACCCGGGAGGCTGAGGCAAGAGAATCGCCTGAGCCCAGGAGTTGGGAGGGTCCTGTGTGCTGTGATGTCACAGCACTTTACCCAGAACGACATGTTGAGGATCAGCGTCCATAGCACACTGGTTACAGCAGCAGCCACATACATCGAGGGTGGTGAGTTCAAACCCAGCCCCACCCAGCTAAACAATAACTACAACAAAAAATGGCTGGGCATTGTGGCAGGGACCTGCAGTCCCAGTTACTCCGGAGCCTCAGGCAGAGAATGGCTTAAAGCCCAAGAGTTTGAGGTTGCTGTAAGCTGGGACTCCAGGACACTCTACCAAGGGCCACATGGTAACACTCTGTCTCAAAAAAAACAAAAGAAAAAGAACATTTTGAGATATTGAGATGCACGGAAAATTAAGAACACTACCAGATTAGCTACACGTTTTCCAACCAAAGCAAAAGAGTATCTCAGGAGCTGATGACCTAAGGTAAACTTCCACTTTGGACAGGCACAGTGGCTCATGCCCTTAATCCTAGCAGGCTGGGTGGCCAAGGCAGGTGGACTGCCTCAGCTGGAGTTTGAGACTACCCTGAGCAAGAGTGAGACCCCTGTCTGTTAAAATAGCCAGGCATTGTGGTGGTGGGCGCCTGTAGTCCCAGCTACTCCAGAGGCTGAGGCAAGAGAATCCTTTGAGCCCAATTGTTTGAGGTTGCTGTGAGCTATAACAAAGTCACTTAGAATAGCCATTTGAACTATATCATCACTCCACTTAACACCAATTTATAAATTAAGTTTAAAACTCTGACCCCCCTCATAAAAACTAAACCTAAGACAATAGGAAAGTTTCTTCCACCTGTTTTAGCAGTTAATTAAGAGGTCACACTTGCTGGCTCAATACCTCTTAAGGAATGACAAAACAAGCTTCATAGATTTGGCACAAGGGGGAAAAACATTAAAGCAAAGATACCACAAAATGCTTTGCAAACCAAAAACATCACACTTGAATTTCTATTCCTGCCCCCAAAATGCTGGCTGGTATTGAAAAATTTGATGGCTTAGCACCGGTAATTCAAGCGGCTAAGACGCCAGCCACATACACGAGAGCTGGCAGGTTCCAGCCCTGCCCGGGCCTGCTCAACAAGGACAACTACAACCAAAAAATAGCTGGCTGTTGTAGTGGGTGCCTGTAGTCCCAGCTACTTATGAAGTTGAGGCAAGAGAATCCCTTAAGCCCAGGAGTTGGAGGTTGCTGTGAGCTGTGATGCCACAGCACTCTATGAGGGCAACAAATGAAACTGTCTGGGGGTGGGGGTGGGGGGGTGGACGGGCTAGGCATTATCAAAGGTGCCTGTAGGTTACACCTACTCAGGAGGCTAATCTAAGAGAATCACTTGAGCCCTGGAGTTTGAGATTGCTGTGAACTATGACGCCAGAGCACTCTACAAAGGGCAACAAAGTGACATTCTGTCCCCCCACAAAAAAATGAAAAAAATAATAGGTTAAGTATCCATCCAAAGGGCTGATAAAAAAATGGGATACCCACTCAAAATACTGATTTGGTACCTAAATAAGCCTATCAACTTGTGCAGCCATGTAAACAAAAGTGAGATCAGTGTATGAAGGTAAATATTACTCCATTAAGGAGCAACACTGCCTACTCAAAAGAACTGACCAATAATGAACAGTTTAAGATACACAGTGTAAGTGAAGACATCCTATCCAAAGAGTATATTAGGTTAAAATCCCTTAGTACAGCTAAATCAATTTGGGAAACCAGTTTGAAATTCAGGCATTTTTCTCAGTATGTCTTCCTAAATAGTAAACCATTTTTCCACAAAGATGCCCAGGTTAAAATACTGGGCAAATATGCTTGGTTTTCTTTCTGGTAAACCGCCCCCCTCCCCGGTCTTGACTTATTGCTCTTAAAGTTACAGTGCTAAGACATAATGATACAAAGGACAGGAATAATTAGAGGGCAAGAATTTCACCAGACTACACACTAAGGTTTTCCTTAAAAAGCTAACCACTACTAATAGTCAAAGAAACTAACATTCTATCCTCAAGATTCTATGACTTTAAAACATTTCAAAAATGAAGATTTCTTATGGGCTTTTTAAGAGAATTTTATTTGAGTGGTTCTTACAAAGATTGTTGCAATATGAAAGTCATTTTGTTTGATAGAAATATCAAGCTGTCTTGTCAAACACACTGAAGTAACCCAAAAATATATTTCAGAGCTCACAGAGCTTAAAAAGAGCAAAGATTATATGCAACCAGACAAAACCTATTTCTGCATTTCCTACTTTTCGCTCAGACTGTTTTGCTTACCAGACTGTCACTAAACATGTTCAGGAAATGCAGGGATCATTTTGTTTGGAATCTTAAGACACACCAGAATGCGTACTATTTACAAAGAAACTTTTAAAGATACATTAATTGAAAAGATACCATCAAGAAATATTTTAATTTTGAGATCTCCCTTTCTTGCCAATTGATCAAAATGCAAGATGAGATGCTAAACAAACAGCCCTTTAGCTGTCTTGAATTGTCATACACTAAATGTGTATTGCAGAAACCTCTGCTAAGCCATTAGCCAAATATCAACATTAGTGAAATGTGAAATGTAACTGCTGTGTAAAAAGTTAAACATTTAAAAACATCATTACACCCCTGGTCTGCCTTTTTACAGAAAGCACATTTGTTCCCCTACAGCTATTCCTATAGGTCCCTAATGTAATTTTCTACATGAACATTTTAAAAGGCAGAACAAGAGAACAGCTTTGTATACAGTGGGATTTGCTAGTTAGGGAGAATGAGCACACTGCATTCCTGTTAACATTTTTATTTTTTCAAGGTAACAGGAATTGTATACAAATGACAGTAGACCCTTGCCTTTTTATTTTTATCTAAATAAAAGATAACTCAAGATGAATTCTCAAGAAAGAAAAAAAGCTATGTACATAAGGGACTGTATCTTCATTCATCGTCTACTTGGAACCAGTAGTTGTGTAGCTGTCATGGAATCAGGAAAGAGGTTGTGGTAAGTTGGAAGAGGTACATATGCTGCTGTTATCATTTTACCTGTTGAAAGAAAACAGATATGTGTGTTTAGCATCTTGACTTAGTCTTAGAGACAAAATAACAATTACTGAAAAAAACCTAAAACTCACCAGCAAACCACCTGCCATGCAATGCATTGACAGCAGCAATAGCTGCAGCAATTGATGGGCACTTCACATACACATTGCCCTAAAAACAAAAGGAAAGAAAAGGTAAGAATGGTGCTGTATCCAACTATAGTTTTCTAAAATTTTTTGTCTTTCCTTTGACAGTATTTAGCCAAGACCCTTAAGATTCCTTGAGGAAAAAACTACTATAATATAATCTAAGACAGTGACCATAACACACACCAACAATGCAACATTGAAAAATCCAAATACCTGAGCTGAATTTTTGTCAACATAAATATGAATAACACCTCCATGTTTATTACATTCTTCAATCACATCATCTTTAATCTCTGTATCCCATCCAACTTCTTCTTCTCTGCAAGAAAAGTATTAAGCTCTGTTAAATACTATTCAAACTAATAAGATGTAAGCCATACACTCTCAAATGTAGGGAAAACAACAAAATATTTGTTCTCTGGATTAAAGAATTAGTTACTTAGCACCTGTAGCTCAGTGGCCAGGGCACCAGCCACATACACCAGAGCTTAGAGTTCAAACCCAGCCAGCGCCTGCCAAACAACAGTAACAACTATAACCACAAAATAGCCAGCCGTTGTGGCAGGAACCTATAGTCCCAGCTACTTGGGAGGCTGAGGCAAGAGAATCACCTAAGCCAAAGAGTTTGAGGTTGCTGTGAGCTGTAATGCCACAGCACTCTACTGAGGGCAACATAATGCAACTGTCTCAAAAAAAAAAAAAAAAGAAAAAAGAAAAAAAAATTACTTAATGAGGAAAGGGTACTGGTGAAAATTTTCAAAAAGCTAATATTACTATGTATTTAGAGGATGAGCAAAGATTAATGTTCAAAGTATGTTAAAATAGCAGTAGTAAAATAATCCCTTTATATATGTCCCTTTGTTAGTTTTCAGGAAGGTATGTCTTCTAGGAGTGACTTGTTAATCCTAATCCACTTCTTGGAGCTACACCTAGTCCTATATTTAGTTCCTAGAGTGGGGGAAGAGGGAAACAGGAAAGGTGAAGAGAAAGGCTCTTTGCCAGAATCTCCAGATCTAGCAGACAGTTTTAGATTATAACCATAGTTCTACATATACATTTTTAGTAAAGTATGTGTGTTTAGTGTGGACAACATTCGTATTTTACAACATGAAACCTGGAGATGTTCTGAAGTGACAATGATAAAAAGTAGAACTAGTAAATTAAGTACTTTGTATCTTTTTGTTGTAACTGATAGAAAAGATGCATCTTATACAAAGACTTTTTCTTCCATTGAGACAGAGTCTCATTATGTCATCCTCGGTAGAGTGCCATGGTGTCACTGCTCACAGAAACCTCAAACTCTTGGGCTTAAGAGATTCTCTTGCCTCAACCTCCCAAAAACAAAAACACAGAGCCAGACATTGTGGTAGGCACCCTATTATCTCAGCTATTTGGGAGGTAAAAGAATCACTTAAGGCTTGGCGCCTATAGCTCAACAACTGGGGTACCAGCCACATACACCGGAGCTGATGGGTTTGAATCCAGCCCAGGCTAACTATACTTAAAAAAATAGCTGGGCATTGTGGCAGGTGCTTGTAGTCCCAGCTACTTGGTAGGCTGAGACAAAAGAATTGATTAAGCCCAAGAGTTTGAGGTAGCTGTGAGCTGTTATGCTAAAGTACTCTATAGAGAATGACATAGTGGACTCAGCGCCTGTGGCTCAAGTGGCTAAGGCACCAGCCACGTACACCCAAGGTGGTGGGTTCGAATCCAGCCGGGGCCCGCCTGGCTGCAATGATGGCTGCAACCAAAAAATAGCCAGGCGTTGTGGC